TAATGATCGCTACTTTAGCACGTTTATCTAAGACAGTCAAGTTAGCTACTGTCCCAAGAGGCATGTCTGGGCAAGTAGTTAAATCAAATTAGACTGACATGAGAGTTTAAGGAAGACAGTTCAAAGAAAACACCAAGTCATGTGATTCATTAGCTGTGCGGTGTCTTTTGATATTTGTTATCAAACATAAGACATGGATACATGATACTTGTGAGACATGACATTTTTTTTTTTAATTTCATAATGAGGGATAAAGAATGTCAAGTTTGGTGTGTGACGAACAGTCTAAGGCATAAAGCGATGAACTTCCGAGTGATGCACTGCTGTTAGTTTAGTGATAGCTTAATGGTAGTGCTCCTGGTTATGTACGTTCTTTCTAGCAAGTTCGCGTGTTCCATTTCCTATATGAAGAGATAGACTAGAATGGATGTGAACTAAGTGTGTTGATTGAGACTATGCCACACCCTATGTGTGTGAGTGGGATGTGTAGGATTTATCTTATGGGATAAATAAATGTCAAAGGATATTCCACCCACATGAGGATATTAACCTCCTAATTATCTATGTGATAATTAGATGAAAATCAAGAGATATTCATATTAGAATATACTTAGGATTTTCATGGGTTTTCAGTCTTTGTATATTCTTCCCAACCACTATATAAGGAGGCTTTGGGGAAGAGAGACAACACAAGAAACACAAGCTTTTCCACAGTTCAAATATTCTAGTTAGGACTTTAGAGCTATCACTTTCAGCTCTAGGTCTTGGGAGGCGAAAGCCAAGGGGCAACTTGACATACCGTAACCAATCCGACGACCTGCGAGGTTCTAGACGTGCACAGAGGGTCAGAGCAGTTGTTTGTGTTTGTAGGAGTGTGTTGAGATTCAAGCTTCCACATAAAAGGTACACATGTCCTTTCGAATTTATTTATAGTCTTCCAACATCATCATTTGAAGATCGCACCAAATATCATTCGAATCGAAAAATCATTGACACATCCAAACGCACCAAATAAATGAATGGTTCATCATGAATGTGTTACTTGGTACCTACACCGTTGATTCACCCTATACATTTCAATGACTAAATGATCTCCGATTCAAATGATATTTTGTGGAGCTGAACTTCAAATGAAGATAAAAAATTGAACGATTCCGATTATAAAATTTGTAGCATGGGTATACATTATTTGCATAGAGGGAATAAGCTCATTCCTTCAAGTAAGGAATGTAAGTACTATCCAAATAAATAAATAAATAAAACTTAATGTAAACAATTACAGCGACATCTGTATACCCACTCCCTAATCAAAATACCAGCTAGTCAACCGCATATATATATATGGGGGTCTCGGGTGCCAAATCCATTAGCAATAATAAAGAAGTAGATATTACCAAAGTAAATATTACCAAACAGCCGTTGGAGCTGGTTCAACGACTTCTTCAAAACGTTAGTTCCCTTGTTTACGTACTACAACTTTGTGTGTACCTCTCTTGGCTGGGACTTAACGTCGTTTTCAATCAGTTGTCAAATTACAAATAAAAATATGGTTCAAAGACAGATAATCTGCTTAATAGATAAAGCTGTATTCTTTGATCGTTGGAGTGAAGTCGGTGCCAAAGCACTAGTGCATGCCAGAAAACTACACGTTAATTAATCATCGCTAATACAAAATTAAGAACTGTTTCACCGAGGTAAGATAATATTTATATCAGGTATGGATGGGAATGGTGTAATTTGCATGACGAGTATCGACATCGCCGTACGTGTAAAACAGACGGGCTTATGCAATTTGCATGATCAGATTTAACTTGGTTGACAATTGTGGGCGCATACTGTTTAGGAAATACAAAGTGGAAATTATAATCTGATTCAACCAATTTTAATCATATTGCGTGTTAAACACTACAAAACATGTGGGATAATGTTTCTTTTTTCGGTGTTTCAGTTGATATGGCCAGAAAGTATGGAGACGAGCTGAGCAAAGCCGAATATCATAGTGTTTTAAGTTTTGTTTATTTGAATTTTATCGAGCTTTGACTTAGCTTGGTTTATTTCTTTAACGACTCCAACTTGATACAAGTTCGAGCTAATCTACTTATATAATGGGATGAGATTTTTTATTAGCACCCCATATATAATTAAATACGTATACTCCACTCTTTTTCAGTGTTTCAATTGATATGGCCAAAAATAATAAACGAGCTGAGCAAAACTGATAGGATTAAAAACACACCACAAAGTAGCACACAAATGTCCTATTAATTTTCCTTATTAACAATAAGATTGGTCAATTGTAGCATATGAAAATAAGGGTCTTTCCCGCAGAAGATTATTTTATCTAACTACTTAAAATGTCACAAAAACTGGACTGTTGTCCCTACTGACCAGCCACCGAAAAATAATTATTAGACTAACTTACACTTATCTAAAGTCTACGAAATTTTATATGTAGATACTAGACACACAGAGCTACACTCACACAAATTTTTGGGATTTTTGAAGTTGATTTGATATTTAAATTAAATCAAACAAAAACAGGACAAAAACAGATTTTAAGTAGTTCGCAAATTAAGAAAAACGAGTTAGGGGAATTGCTATCCATCACCAAATAATCATGCAAACATGTTATGTTTCATTCAAATTCCTTCTATTTCCGGATGAAGATGCTCAAGTTGGCTCAATGTTAGAACTTAACCTATTACTCGTTTTTATGTAGTATGTTAAGAGAATGGCGTTTTCAACTTAACTTAGTCCCTAACATGCAATCTAGAATGGCATGTTCATAGATTTAACAAGTAGAAATCATTAAGAACAAAAAGAGTTTGAGTCATCACAAGGTATCGTAAGTACTGGCGTTGTCTTACTTATCCTAGAAATTGGTTCACATGTTAATCGCAATTAACAAGTACTACTCTAGAACATATGTAGGTCCTCATTCGACAAGGGCAGGCACACATATATTCATAGCATTAGAATCCAAGATATGCTTACTAAGTATGCATCCATAGAAAACACATAAAGAATTCATCAATGAGACAAGTAGTGAATCAATTTTCATCCGTTCATAAAAGTAATTCAAACGAAATGTCATAACAAACTTGCAATCATATTCAGGGCTTCAAACAGCCCCTAACTACTAAAAATTTAGTTACACAATCCTTAAGTTAAAACAAAAGATAGACATCAGTTTGAGAAAATAGAATCGAAAGAAATCGACTGAGGCTTCCCTTTTACTTCCTTCCCCAACGCTACTTTTAAACCAATTCTTGCTGCATCATTTTCTTCTCCTTAACTCACCGACTAATAGCCATCTAGTGATGATAATAACTGAGAGGAAATGGTAAAACAATTGTAACTCCTTGGGTAGCCTTTATGCCAATTACTACCTCTTAATCCTCATCTTTAATTCCATTTCCTCTGATATTTGAATAGGTGTCAGCTGGTTTGTTCTTAATTGCATCAGTTTTGGCTGCTAGATTTATTAGATTTATTGCTTTCAATGTTTTCTTGTCAGTTACAAACTGCTCAGCCTCTTGAGAACCTTTTAGTGTTAAAATGACCATAACTTCTTCTAGAAAAATGATATTAGTAATCCGTGAAATGCTCCACAAAATAGACATCCGTAGATTTCCAAGCATATATGGCTCATTCTCTAATTCATTCTGAGCTGTCCACAACTTGCTTCCAAAGTCAGCTGACCTGCACAGGCAGTTTTGACGAATTTATTATTTAAAATCCCACTTGTGCTATTTTTCTTTTCTTTGCTTGACAAATCCTACAAAACACAAAAACAAAGTAAATAACTCAAAAATATAAGAACTAACTAAGAAAAGACAAGTGAATTTGATATAAAATATATATAAATATAAGCTTATCAAAAACCGAATATCGTAGTGTTAAAGTTTTGTTTATTTGAATTTTATCGTGCTTTGATTTAGCTTGATTTATTTCTTTAACGAGTCCAGCTTGACACAAGTTGAAGCTAATCCACTTATATAATGATGAGTTTTTTATTAGCAATCCACATTTAATTAAAGACACTCCACTCTTTTTCGGTGTTCAATTGATATGGCCAAAAAAATAGACTGAGCTAAGCAAAGCCGAATATCATAATGTTTAAGTTGTTTATTTGAATTTTATGGAGCTTTGACTTAGTGTTTTTATTTCTTTAACGAGTCCAGCTTGATACAAGTTCAAGCTAATCCACTTATATGATGGGGTGAGTTTTTAAGTTAGCAGCCCACATATTATTAGAATACTCCACATAAAAATTAATTATTCAATAATTATATACCATAATATGAAATTACCTTTAAGTACATAAGATTTTTTTTTTTAAATGAAAAATATTTTTCTAAATACATTCCAAATTATTTTCAACATTTATTCTAAGATTCCTCTTTCCCATTGTAGAACAAAACTCGGTGACACAAAGTACAAAAAAGGATCATATAATTTACGTAACATAAAACTATACAAAGCTCGTAAAGATAGTAAACCTATCGTAATCCCTAAGAGGAAATAAAATTCGATTCAAAGAGGAGAATTTAACTTGAGACCTCTTTCAACATTTCAAGTGAAAATACAACTAGATGGGTAGCTAGTTGGTCAAAACCTATAGAATTTAGAGAATTTGACAATTGTGTTGATCTCACATTTACTGACTTCTAAAATTGCATTTAAACAGCATTTAAGACCCACTCCTCGTTTTAGAAGTGTGGTTTCTATGGTGGCCGTATAGGGGTTCAAAAATTATTTTTGTTTTATGCTAATTACCTTCATATTAAGAAATTGGTTACTAGAACATATATACTCATCTGGCACCCTTGTAATTGGTTGTTTAAGGTGATGAAACTATATCGCTCCAATTAAAAAAAGACCCACCCCCTTTATTATCACAATAATTTTGGGCCAGTGTTGTTTAGCCCATAAGAGTCAAGCCCAAGGCCCAGCCCAATACTAACTCGAATTCGATTACCTACTCATCCATGACCCGAAAGTTGCACAACCAGCATCGTCTTCTTCGAGTAGGTTAAGGTCTTAAACCATAAACCCTAGACGCTCCTGAAATTCTCCCGACACAAAGAGGGGTTGGAATCCGATGTCGAACGGAGAAGATTACGACTCGGACGCGCCGGAGGAGCTCACGGCCGATCAGGTAATTTCTTTGGGGAAAATTGAAAGTTCATGTTTTATTTCCGGCCATAAAGTTCTGAACTTTGTTCGTACGTTGTTAATGGTTACAGGGAGTACAACAAGACCAAGAACTTAACAAGCTCCAGAAAGAGCACAAAGCCAGGTGGGTTCACCTTGCTCTATTTGCTAAACAATGTTTTGATTTTTTAAGGTTTCGGTTTGTTGCTTTATAAATGTTGGAAATTAAATTCATTGGATTGAGCTGGACTGTGTTCTTATGAAAATGATAAACTTGTGCTGCGTGGCTTGATTTTAAAAGACGAAAAGCCCGAAAAATTTCGGAAATTCGGAATTCTGTTTGGGATTCTTTGTAGTGTTCTCTCAATTCTCTCTAGTCAGAGCACATACGAAATTATGTTTCTTTTTCTTATGCTTCTTGATAAAGTGATAGGCTTGAAATCGTGTTATTAAATGGAATAGATAAATGAATTCGCGGGATCACATCGAAGTTCTGTGGTTGAATTCCTATCTGATAGTTTTTTTTCCCGTGTTTATATGTTTCTAAGGCTGGAAGAAGTTTGACGCTTTGTGTTGTCTGGTATATTACCTGGCAATGTACTGAAAAAACTGCTTTCTGCAATATCGAATGATGAATGTATTTATATGTGATCAACTGCGACCAACCGCAGTAACCTCATGGAGTGATTGAGGAGTTGTTTGAAGGTTGGTGCAAGCCTGAAAATGTTCTAACACAGATGTTATGTAGACAAGTTTTGTACCTGTGATATGAGTAATAAAAAGTTTAGTCAATAAGTGTTACTGGTCATCGATTTTCTTTCTTTTTCTCTGTTTTTTGGGTCGAAGCACCCATTTGTGAAACATTTGTAGATAAAAACTTGGTGTAGATTACGGTATCCACATTTTGCATTACTTGCCTAAGAAATAAATTTTAACGGAAAATGATATTACTTTATATAGGGTGGTTCGTGAAGCAAAAGAACGTCGTAGACAATGGGCCCAAAAGAAAACACCCAAGAAAACTCCAAAGCCGTCTGTAAGTGTTCAAGATGCCTCTGAACCTGAAGCAAACCAAGAATCTTTGGGTAATGGAGGGATGCTTCCAAGCAACATCGTTGAGCTGCTTGCAGCTCGTGAGAAGTATGACCCCTCTCTCTCTCTCTGCCTCGCTTTCTCTCTTCTCTTTGTATGTAGATGCTGATCTTTAGTTACGAGATTGTAACCAAATGACCACATTCCATGTGCAGGCAAAAGTTCCTCTCGGACTCTGAGGATGAGAAGACTGACTCAAAGTCCACTAAGAAGAAGAAAAAGCTAAAAAGCTCAGGGTGAGTGACCTCTTCTATAATGACAGCGAAAGATTACGTTTAATGCCACTCCGTTATGAATGAAATGCGATCCTTCTTATAAGCGAAAATGTGAATTGCAGGGTGGATACTATCATATTGAAGGAGACACCTGCCCCTCAATGCTTACAGAATTCCTTAGCGTTCTTGGAGAAAAGGAGAATGCAGGTACCTAGATCATCTGCAGTGTTGAACAACTCCAACCAAGCATTACGCCTCCTCTCTTCTTCGGGCTTGTTAAGTAAAAAGTGACAAACTAAAATGTCAGCATTTTTGGCCCCCCGACGAGGACATGCCTACGAATTATGAACAAATGGGGACGGATCAATTCCCACGGGATTTAACCGTCGAACTTTTAGATTCTGCAGTTGTGTTGTATTACACATTGTTCTTCATCATATTTAACATATTTTTCTTTCATTTTTGTTTCATTGATAAAAGAAAGCGTTTTTTTTTTTTTTTTTTTTATCTTGTGGCCCGGACCTTCCTTTATCTTTTGAAAATTTTGTCCATTAATTTAATAATTTTAAAAGAAATCTAAAGTTCGAATCCCATCACCCTTCTTAAAAAAAAGAAAAAAAAAAAGGTTGAAATATATGACAACCCGTCCCAAATTTTACATTTTTATTAATTTTAGAAGCCTGAATTTATGAAAATGCCCTAGAGGCAAAGACTTTGACTTTCATTGATCATCGATTAGAGTGACATATGACTTATTCTTTTAGCATATCCTCGTAGTACTTGTCACTACGAACGCATAGGCGAAAGTCGTTTGCAAGTCCGAATTATAACGATATAATTACGGATGTTTGAAGTTGGTTATTTAAAGGTAGTTAAATTATTTGAACTCCCACCTTGTGGGAAGACTAACTAATCAGCCTTAAGTAAAGAGGAAAAGGGACCAATCAAATTAAAAGAAGTGGAGGACCAGTGAGAAATCAGAAAAAAATAAAAAATAAAAATAAAAAATAAAAATTAAAAAATAAAAATAAAAAATAAAAATAAAAATAAAAATAAAAAGGAAAAAGCTGGGAGCTTTTCCCGTGAGTTTTCGTCCGTACACCTCCATGACCACCTATCTTCCAAGGCCGATTCCAGCCAACTCCGATGGAGTTTTTCGACGCCACCACTACCATCTTGAAGCTCTCATTCCCTTCTACAAAACTCACCCAAGAACTACCTTGATTAACCATGGTATGTGGCGGTTGGAGGCCACGAAAGTTGACGAAAATCAATAGTGCTCCGGCCACTCTTTTCGATTTTCCGGCAAATTGGCAAAGCAATGGCCGATGCCACCACTTGGGCTTTGTAGCCCATCATCCCAGGAGCAAAACCCAACCAACTTTGACCCCGTTGGACCACCATAGACGACGAATCGACGTTGGGAAGTTTTAGGCACCCGCCGGCTTTGTGGATAAAATTGACCATCTTCCGTCCACTTTTGGACTTCGTGGCAGGGACGATAAATCGTGATGTCTCGATGTGCGTGCAAGATAATCATAGCGTGGACTCCAGGTGAGTGAGCCTTTTTCTTTCATAGGCATATAATTGATAGTTCCATAAGCACTTCTATAGTGATCTATGCTTGTTACCTACAATTAATCATTTCGAACTACGAATGGCTTGATCCCTATTTAGGGTACGTAAGCAGTCTAACAAGACGTTAGATGCAGCAGCCATATAATAAATGAGATTAAATAATTGAGACAATAGTCTTGTTTAGTGAATTGAGCAATGTGAGGGACATTGGTGGGAAGTGTGAGATTTAGCTTTATGATTTGGTGATTAATGTTGATCTTAAATCAATGCGTGAAGAATCAAGAAATTGAAGTAAGGAAAGGTAAGTGATGATAGTTAATGTAATTAGGGTCTAATTGGGCTTAGCACTGATGATTACTCTCAAAAGTAAATAGTTAGGGAGTAGGGTGTTATTGATTGTACATGTTACGCCGTATTATATATTTTGGGAATATCATGAAATGTTTGGGTTTAGATTGCATCATGGAATATTCATATGGATATTACCTGAACCTAACTACTGTGAATGCTTTGAAGTGCTATATGACGCCGCGGACGTCCAGGTAAGCTTCAGGTGAGTACATGTTGATGTTAGCGATGGTGAGTATGATTGTGTTGAGATATATTATAGCTCATAAACCTGCACCCCGGTGTTAGTGCTCACACCCGTGGCCAGGGCACAGTCCTTCACGTGATGTTCATCTCCTGCACCTTACGCTCACCTTGGATCCAAGGTAGGTGCCCAGTCCTGTCGTACAGACCACTTTAGATGGTTCCGACTCGTAGGTGACCCGCGATTATTCGCATAGTCTTCACATAATCGTAGCACTTGAGCGTATTTATTTACACCCAGTCCTATCGTACAGACCACTTTAGGTGGTTCCGACTCGTGTGCAGGTATACTTATTGAGCTATTGGCTAGCATGATTGATGAGATATGGATAAGTCGTACAGGTCATTATAGGTGACTCCGACTTATATGCTAGCCATGATTGATGAGATATGGATAAGTTGTACATGTCATATTAGATGACTCTGACTGATATATCATTTTGTATTGATTAAGTTCTTTTGGCCTACTTATTAATGCATGGTGGAGTTGATGGCAAACCGTGGTTTTGGTCATTTCTGAGTATGGTTTGGATATATGTATATATGTTGTATTGTCTTATGGAAAACGATACGGGTTTTACATTGATGGGCATTACTTTTAGAGAGGTAATAACTTTGGGAAGCTTGGTTTTATTGCTCACTCACTCTCTGTTTGGTGCCTTCCAGGTTTTAGCTGCTGAGTTTGTATGTAACAATGATCTGTGGCGAATCTTAGTATTGATGGATACTTCTGAGGGTATGATTCTTACCCACACTCATGTACCTTACTTATGCTCTGACATCGTGTGTGAAATGGGTTCGCTCCCGCTCACAACGCACTCTGGTATTTAAAATTTTTAGGTTCAAATTATTCACTTTTTTTTCTACACTTTACCACATTGTATGGCTTCATCACCTTCCAGGTGTCGGCCAGCACAGCTCGATTCAGGGTCCAAGTGAACTTTCTGGGTCAGGGTGTGTCAAAATAGTCCATCGTATGATCAGTGTTTTAATACTTTATGATCCTATGAGCCATTTTGGTTTTGTTTTTTTAGAATCGAGAGATGTTATTAGCACTTTAAAAAATTATTGTGAACTCTTTATAAGTGCTTTTTTTTTTAAATGCAAAAAATTTGAGCGCATGATAATTGTTTTAAAGTGCCAACAACAGCACACCGAAAAGTATATGATGAAATGTTGGGAAATATCACTGGAGGCATTATTATATCTTACCTACTTTTCAAAACGCTAAATTACTCTACTTTTCAAAATGCTAAATTACTCTAAATTAATAGGAGTAGCTCTAACTAACTTTGCTAAATTCACATGAAAATTCGAACTTGAATGAAAAAAACGAACATGCTAATCTAATCAATTTTGCTTTTGCTAAAAATGTATCCGCGTTATCTAATTATTGTGTCCATTTAACTGGTTGCAAAGTGGAAACAAAAAGCTTTTGCCCTATATACCAAAAACGAAATAAAAAGTAAAATCTTTTTGCCCCACTTTTCCTTCATCAGATGAGATGGTTTGTTTTTATGCCCTGGATTTATGCACAAAGTAAAAACCACCATTCAAGTCCCCATGGAGTCACTCAGTGATCTGTTTCCTCTCTCGACATCATATCAAAACATGTGCAAACCTTTGATCATAGAATTGAAATTTTGAGATGGGTTGAAAGCAGCTACATGCATAGATTATGAGAAAAGCTGCTTAATACAGAAGTGCTTCTCATCCACTACATAATAATAGAAGTACAAAATCAATAGATTTAATGTTACTAAGCCTAAGGGAAGGAGAAAGAGTCCTCCTGGTGCAGCCATGTCTCATGGTGGATGTTAGAAGTAGGGGTCGTAGGACTAGTAGCAGGTTCTGGAGAGCTCCTGCTGCTTCCCAAGAAAGCTTGAAAAGCACTTTTAACCTTGCTCAAGTGCTTATGGTTGCGAATGCGTCTGAGAACAACATCTCTGTCCAAGGAAGCTGCAGTGGGTGATTTCAAGTAGACGTGGCTTGTGATGGAGCTCTGCGACTCAGGAGAAACTTCATGGCCATCTTTGATCTTCCCAGAAGCAGCTTCTGAGAAAGTTGATGGTTGTTGCTGTTGAGCTTTGGAAATCATGAAAGCCATGAGGGGAGAGGAAAAGGAATTGAAGGCTTCTGGCTTCTGGCTTCTGGGGCTTTGTTTTATAGGAGAGTGGTATCGGTGGTTTTTGGAGTTACTGTATTAGTGCAGTTTTGTTGTTTTGTTCTAGCAAGGAAGTGGTTTTTCGGGTTTCAAGGTTCTGTGCTGCCTGTGGTTTCCTTTTTTTTTAAAGGATAAACTGCGGTATAATCCCCTAAATCATTAATCATTATCCTAGTTGAAATTGACTCTGAATTATTTTTTTTAATAAATTAATTCTTTGAACTATTTAAAATAAGTCAATTAACCTCTTGTCGTTAGATTTTATCTACTATTACGTTAAATTCAAGAGCAAATTAATCTTTTTATCAACAATTTTTACTTATCAGTTACAACTGCTAATAAAATAATGATAGGTGGACACGGAATAATTCAAAAACTTACAGCATAATAAGAAACACAAAGAAACCAAACGTTTGCATAACACACCATTTCACATTGTCCTTACACATTATTATGTGCTCACATGTCATAATTTATTGGTGGTTATAAGTGACATGTAAGAATTGATGATAAAAAGATTAATTTGTCCTTGAATTTGACAGAATTGTGGACAGAATCTAATGATAAGGGATTAATTGACTTATTTCAAATAGTTCAAGGAGTTAAATTACCAAAAAAATAGTTTAGAAATCAGTTTCAACTGGACTAATAGTTCAAAGAGTCTAACGGCAATTTACCTTCTTTTTTTTTTTAATGCCATGGACATTTGATCCAATGGTCGATGATTGTGTGATTGCTGACTCAAAGGTGTAATTTCAGTTGCCTTATTGTTTTTTATTTTCTTCATTTTTTTGCATTATTTTACAAAAGGTGGAGTATTATTGTTTAAAGTGAATTGATGCAATAGCGGTATCTCATTAATTTTGAACACTGATGGTAGTAGATTAGACCATTTTGTTTCCGTCACGTAAAAAGACGACGTCTAAAAAAAAACTTCACTTTAAATTGGTTGACTTTAAGGAATTGTTATCAACACTTTAAATCAAATGGCTCATTATCACAGTAGTAAAGATAAGTGTTTTGTTTTTAAACCACAATAAGGGTTCGAATCCTTTTAGCTCTCTAATCTAATAATTCTATTTTTTTACCAAAATAAAAAAATACATAAATAAAATTTTTGAAGTCCGAATAACAATTCTCTAAAACTTCAATTATTGTACGACAATAATTGAAGTTGGAGAAATGAGTACGAATTTTAGGAAAGATGTTTATGTTTTGGCCTTTATCTATAAATTGACATTATGTGCGCGAAAGTTAATGACCTAATTACCATTAAAAGTAATTTATTTTCCTTTGTCTGTTTCTTGTTGAAAAATAACACGGAGTTTGTTTCTGGTCAGACACCTGACGACTGATTTCTAAATCAGGTTGGCCGGCCCCACAGCGTTATCCTTCTTTTTTGTCAATTATTTTTTACATTTATTTACAAATTAAAAAAAAAAACCCCTTAATTATTTTAATTTACAAGAAGAAAATGTGGACTCAAGTTTAAGATAATGAACAACACTGTCAGAATTAACTAGCTTAACTCACATTACGTTATCTCAAAAAAAAAAAAAAAAAAAAACCTATAAGTTCTAAATCAAGAAATTTCAATCTAAACACAAGAAGAAAAAAAAAAAAAAAACAAAAGTGTTGACGCTACAAGAGTATGAATATGCAGAAATCTGTATAATTGCATAGTTAATTATTGCATTGAGTACATCGTGATTGTAAATATAAGGTTTTGTAAAAGTGTTGCATTATCCTTTTTGGACAATGATTGTTTGTCCTCCATTTCAAGATTGTCTGCCCACCCGTCCTTCCGTGCCCTTCTGTTTGTGTGATCACGGTTAAGTCACGTCAACATTTTATATTACTATTTATTTTTATCTTATTATCTCTATAAAAAAATAATATAAAATGTTGACGTGACTTAGTCGTGACCACACAAAACAGGAGGGCACTAGAAATGGGAGGGCAGACAATCCTTGTCCATCCTTTTTAACTTAAGAAATAATAAAAGAGATTCTCTTAAAAAAAAACTTCTCCTGGATATTATGTCACCTTATAATTTAACGTTAATTGTTATATCAATATTATAAAATATTATGCTAAAAATGAAGTGTTAGAGAATCTATAAAGTCCATCAAGAGTTCCACTTTTGGAAGAATTCCCTTAGCATTTCTTTTTAATTTTCTATCTCATCCACTCTCAAAACAAATATCTGCACGTTGATTTGGAGCTTCCTCAAAGATGTCCCTCCGATGGCGCGCAACACGAAAGCGACCCAAGGAAACAAAACAATGGGCAACTTCGGTTGTTTCGGATTATAATCCGAGGGCCATTACACTCTAACCAACTTTAATGTTGTTTTGGATTATAATCCGCGGGCCGTTTCACTCTGACCAACTTTAATTTAGATTATACTTAAAAAAAATAGTAACTATGTGTAAAGAAAACAAAGACCTGATCGAATAAATGGTCCATGCGGTAAAAAAAAACTATATTTAAACCCACGTGGATATTTCATGGATTGTTATTGTTATGTTGTCAAGGAAAGTCAACAGAAAGCCGCTGACAATGCGGCGAGCCACAGGGTTAGGGATACAGCGACACAACCGACCGTCTACATATGCTACAATCCCTGACAGAACAAACTTGCCGACGCCCCATTTGAGGCCGGCAACAAACTTGGGTGGTTGGCTTGCTGGGACAACTGCACTAGGATTGTTGTCTTCGGATTTCCACTTGATGTTGGAGATGAACTTGTTTGCTTGCTTCCTCAGCAACCGGATGGCGAAGCTTACGAAGAGGTGCTCGCACAACGTAAGCACTGTTGGTCCGAGCCTCCATTCCTGTTGTAAAGTTTCTCTTTTAGTTACTTGTAATGGTTGATGGGTGAAATGAAGAAAGTGAAGTTACTGCATGATATTTATCTTCCAAAAACTATTGACAGCCAACGAAAAACTAATGCGGAACAGAAATGAGCAAAACCGGTTTTAGTTCATATCGGGATATCCACATGTTCTTCCATGGACTAAAAAACTCGAAGCGGGAAGAAATAATAATGCAATTTACAGACTCGGAACATCTTCTGTTACATCCCCGGATAATGAGATATGCAACTTATCAAGTTCAAGTTTATGCACGTGCAACGATAAAAAGTCAAAAAATTAGAAGGATCATGAGCCATTTGTGTTAGACAAGACAACATGGGTAAGGTGTGAGTACAATGTTAGGACGTTTAATATCAAAAGCACTTATTTTCTGACTAACTACAAAAATCATAACAAAGAAATAAAGGTTGTGAAGGAAGGGGATCCACTTACATTTTCACCTCGAAGACGACTCAGCGGGCGAGATGCTGCTGAAGGATCTCCTTTTAGCAATGCCTTGCTCACAAGAAACCCCTTCACCCGATCCATAATCTCCTCTATGAGGGAACTGTTTGGGGGTAGGTTTTTGAGGTAAACCTAAACACACACACACACAGACACACACACACAAAAAAACTATTAGAATCTCAATCAGAACATTTTCTGGCAATGAAACATCGCCTAAATTTAAGAAAATTCTCGTAAGGTTTCCCATTAGACATGCTTTCTGTTGTTAGACTTCAAGCGTACAGGCTGACATTTTCTGGCAATGAAACATCACCTAAATTTAAGAAAATTCATGTAAGATTTCCCATTAGACATGCTTTCTGTTGTTAGACTTCAAGCGTACAGACTGACATCATTACCAGATGAAGATTCCATGCAACTCTTCCATACAATGTATGAACTCAGTCACTATCCAGAGCGATAAGTTCCAATCAAGAATGAAAACATAAACAAAATGAGTCTTATCTATGACAAACTTTCTAATTTCTTTTAAGACTACCTGATTGTCAATGACCCTGACTCTCAGATACTCCTGTCGATACACAGTGTCCAACATGGCTTGTAAGTATCCTTCAATATATAACTGCAGTAATCCAAAAAAAATCAATAGGTGAGCAATCTTCGAAGGACCAAACAAATAAAGACACCACAACATGGGCATTCAGTCCATAAAGACGTGCCTCAATGTTTCATTCTAAGAATGGTTCGTGGTATATTTTGTCATAGTCTTGTGCAATTTCACTAAGTTACTAATTTCAGACCACACTGTTAAGAGGCGGAAACAAAGGCAAGGGAAGGAATATGGCAAGGCTGTCATCAAATTACAATTTACATTAAGTAATAGCAATCAATCATTACCATTTTTGATAAAGTGATTCTATTGTAATCAACTGAACTTGTTCTACTTCTCTCTATTGAAATTGGGTTTGTGTCTTAACCTCATTTTTAATGACAAACTAGGTACTTAAGCCATAGGCATTGCCACCCAGGTGTCCGTTAGTGAGCTCAAGTCATAACATTTGTGCCCTAAAACACAGAAGCTATGCAGCCTGAAAGCTTGCCACGCAATGAAATACGAAGGTGCCCCAAATATACTGTTAGAACTCTTACGGTCTTACCAGAAGAGCATGAAAAGCATATTACCTCATCAGCCGCAGGACTCCGGTCAAGCTTAATCTTTCTATCTGGGCCACCTTCCATCAACGCAGTCCCCAGTAGTGATGGCTCCATAGCCAATTTCAGTATTCCTTGGTGAAAGCCAGTCACCTTGAAATACATGACAGTCAAAATGTAAAAGGTTCCAACAGTACATATGCAGCTAGTAATGTAATAAGAATAATCCTACCACTCCGTTGAAACCACTTGCTTCTGCACCTTTCAAAACAGAGTCTGATATCTCTGTGACTGCAGCAAAGAGTACATTTGTCCCAGCTGTTCTCAACTGCAAAGCCACCACAAAATTGATAGTTATGGGTTGGATATGTCCCGAAACTCACAAACATATTTTTAACAAAAAGTAAATATCACTTACAGATTTTTCTAGATCACCAAAATAGCGTTTTGTCCCTGAGAACCCTTTACCATCAATACATTTACTGATTAATTTGAACGTGCCTGACACATACAGCCAAAGAAGCAAAAAACATATTTCAAGTCAGAGATAAAACAGAATGACACTTCACAGTCAGGACCATACATCGTTATCTGAAAGATCTGACCATATGAATATGGAATTACAAGATAACACAGACGGGAAAAGAAAAGAAAAAAAGATGGTAACGACTTGGAATTACTAAGCTGGGTTATTGTTATGGTTTGTATATTTTTTAGGAGTACTTGTCCACAGTTTTTCATTGATTTTGCTTGTAAAAAATTTTAGTTTTTTGTTAAAAAAAAATATTATCAATGAAATGAGGAAAAGTTAAACAGAAGGAAAAGAGGAAGAATGAAAAAAAGAAAGTGTGAAAAGCATACCTAACGTCAAACCTGGGAGATTCTTTAACCCACGAGAAGGATCAAAAAACACATCAAGAGAGGATGACGCCAGATCATCAAAAATCGACACAAAATCTGGTGGAAGCAATGGACTTCCTTTTGCAATATAGACAGCCCTCATGCCATACCTAGATAATCAAATAAGCGCTCAGAAATGAACATACAAGAATCACAAATAAGACAGTCTATATGACAAGTTTACCATGAATAATGTTGTGCACATTTGATAACTAATTCACGCATCGTTATCAAAGCATGAGTGATCATAATGCCGTTGAGCTCTACAACCTTATTCTTTATTGCAGGGACCTAATGAATTACAAGAATAAGGTAATAAATGGTGAAATTCTGTATAAAAAAAAAATTAAAAAAAAAAAAAAAAAAAAAAAAAAAGTGAACTAAGCATTGAAGGTCCAACAAAAGAAGGAGTCCATCTTGTGTCACCTTTACTACACTGTGCAGTAAGGACCTCAGAGTCTCTTCGGCTGAGCTATAACTTGAATACGAGTCCCCAGGAAGAAAGTTGGCATAAATCTAAAAAGGGCATACAAACTCAGTTCCCAGAGAGTGCAGTAACTCGGGATGACCAATTATAAGTATAATTAAGACAATTTATAGGGAAATATAATGAAAAGCATCTAACCTTTATTGGGTGGATCTCAAGATGGTCAAAATAATATTGCCCACTCTTCGAATCATTAAGAGATGTTCTCCAAAATGGTACGAGTTTCATCAATGTCTCCTCGTCAAGATTTAAATCCATTGGCTGTGGAAGACAAGACCAAGTCATAAATTCAAAGCTGCAACAGCCTATGCAGTAGTGGACACAATACTATGAAATCTATAGGCCACAAGCTAACATTTATATAAGCAAACAGCACAAAAGGAAAGAAAGAAAAGTACATATACAAAGGCACAAGAAGGGGAGAAAAACGTATTAACATAAAGTATTAGGTCTAAGTGGTGATTTACCTGCAGAGCAATAGATGAGTATTTAACTTGTACGACATTGGAGCTAGTTGAAAGGAAGACAACAACAATTTTGAGTACACAGTCATTTGAATCATTGTAGTCTAACTCATGTCTACGAAGCATTGCCGCAAAAGGAGCTCCCACCCACTTGTGCTCCAGATTAAGTGACTGCATCAAATTCAAGAATGCACCAAAAGGTTATTTAAAATAAAATGAACAAGCATTGTACTAAGACCCTCCTCGACAAGAAAAGAACAGAAGACAACTGACATGTAAAGTTCACTGACTCTCAGTAAGGCAACAAGCATATATATAATAATAATACCTGTACACAGATCTGGCAGAACTTTTGCTCATAAGTAAAGAGAGAATCAAAGTTAACATTCCCAATTCTTGCAGCTATGATTGGTGTATAAGCTGAAGGTCCCGTTTCATCTCCATCCTTCAGAATCAAATAACCAAATAAAGTATTCAGTAGAATAACATTGTATAGAAATCTGACACCATGCCAGCATTAATAAATACTCTCTCCGTAAAACAATGATGTAAACTCAAACGGCAAGACCATAGGCAACTAGAAAATTGTCAAATAAAATAAAAACAATTTTCATCAACAATGGCTATTCACTGTCATTCATATGAAAAGCTCGTGATTGAAGTAAATTCTTAATAATAAAAGCATAATAAAAGCAACTTGAACATTGTCAAGTAAAATAAAAATAACAAAATCACACCTACTGCATCCTACCCTCCATACGCATACATGCACTAGAAGTCAATATCAAGGCATTCAATTTTTTTTCCGCCAGGTGTAAGTGAGGTTTAAATTTTTCAATGGTTAATGGGTTCAAGTACAAGAACTAAGAACTGAAGCACAAAGTCAGCAACAGAAGTTTATGTTTCAAGTGAAATAGAAATTTAAATATATTAAAATTATATGTTGAATGGTTGAGCCCAACCATGAACGACAAACAACAACGGAGGTCTGAATCCCATTACAAAATACAGATTTTCATTATAACACAACTGCAACAAATAAAAAATATAACCTTCAGGAATCCTACCCCTGAGATCTAATATCTTGTGATAAAGACAATTAGTAACTCTCCAAACTTAGTGCAAATGCAGACAAAATAAAAGGATCTGGGCAGGAGCTTGCATAAAATATCAAAAAACAAAGCAGAATAACAGTATGGTGACCTAAGTGTTCAAGATAACTCTTTCACTTACCTTTTTTTCCTGTTCAAGTAGGTGGATTGTAAATTGAGGAACTCTTAGTTGAATTTTCTGACATGAATGAAATGATTTATCGCCCTTGTGGCTCCTGGAAATCTCACAAAATCTTAAAACTCTAGTTGGACCGTCTGCATATACTTCATACCCCACCTTCATCATCTCCCTGGCATTTAACTCACCAAAATCAATTCCCTGTTCTCCTGATCTCTTGCCCAATGGTAAATGAGATGCCAACCCACTCTGTTGCCTTGGTTTGTAGAAAGGCTTCCATGCCCTCACCTTATCCAAGTTAATTTCACGTAGCAGAAGACTATCTACAAGAAGAATCAGTAGCCCATTAAGCCACTCATTCAACTACCAATAACCTTGACAGTGACGAAAAATCATCATATCTTATGGATACCCTACAATGGTACTTTCAGTATTGCGCACTCTTTGCACATGGGTGTTGATTTATTAAAAACCTTACTTCCATGCCATAATTCAGCACCCAAAGCATATAAGAAACATATGTGATCTTGAAATGAATGAGAAGATTGGTCTTTGGACTCTTTAATGTAACAAAGATGTGCTAATAAGTAAGTTGCAAGTTTATCATCTCCATGTTGACATAAACTACCAATCAAAGTTATTATTATTTTTTTTTTTTTTTTTTGAGAATAAAATTATTACTTTAATCTAAGGAATTTACTTTGAAGTACTTATACAGCAAAATAAGAGATCAGGGGCTACCATTGATTCTGACAACCAACTTATGAGGGAGAGTCGAATCATCCCAGACATAATCGGTACCACTTTCAGATCCAAGAATCTCAGGCTCCAATGAATCCTGGAAAAAGTCAAGTAACAGAAAGTGCAAATTAGCACACAAGTCATGGTCACAATCCGTATCTAAAAAAATCAGCAGTTGAGAAATAAAGAAAAGTAGCACAGCAGAACCTTCTGGTAGTAAGTTACAGATACATCACACAAGCGATTCTCTATTCGATATGGTAGACTGACGTTTGGAGGTTTATGGAAGCGTAACACAAGAGAAGAACCTTCTTCCACAACATGAACAGCAGCAAATTCTGTTACATTGCTTTCTACTGCTGTCACTTGGTCCATACAAGGCTTTTTGAATTTGAGGAAAAATCTTCCCAGAGAAGCAATGCATATTGGCCCTGACCAACCTAATTCAGACTCATGCAACCGAAACTGGAGATATATTAGTGAATCTTCATTAACTTTTCTGTGCTTCTTCATAATATGCTCAAATAAACCGAACTCTCTCTTCTTGAATCCATCCCGAAGCTGGAGAGCTGCCCTCTGCTTACTGCTTATGAGGATCATGCCTACTGAGTCATCCTTTTCCAATTAGAAATGAAGAACGTCAGAACACAATGAAAAAATAAACACTAAAATGCATGAATAAAAAACAAATCAATAAATAAAGATGTGTTAAAATAAACGAAAAGGAACCTCCAAAATATAACATTGAGAGCAAACCTGTAAATAACATTGACGAACTTGGATACTTTCTTCTGATTCATTAACTACAACATGTCTTGGGACCATCGTTACTATTTGTGATGGAACGACCACTTTACTCAAAGGTGGTCCCGTGGAAACCCCAAGCTTTGTAATATATTTGACTCCAGATCCGTCCTCCACTTCCAAGCTTACTTCCGCAAGGCCCGATAAAGCATCCAAGTCGATCAGTGTCTCTGATGCATTATCTTTCAGAAATTTGAGAGACACTTTGTTGGGTCTGGAAACAGAGGGTACATATGATGCCCGTAAGGCAATAACAGGAAGACCTGTAAAAATCATGCAACTAAAGAAAAATTCCTATGAAATAATTTTTCTCACCGTAAAAACCACGATCCAATTGACTTTGGAGGCAAATATAATCCCACCTCTGGAGGAATGCTAGAACCATAGTTCTCAACTTCATCCCTGTACATAGTTTATGGCTATCAATTAGGCAAGATATGGCAGTAGGCGCAGTGCTTAATACTTTTCAATATTAATGGACAGAAGGAATACCTAGAAAGAGGCTTCTTATTAGGGGCAAAGAAATAAAGGGTAAACTCTGTATCATTTCTCAGGGAATATGACGTGAAAATAGCAGCCTGCAAATGGATAAAGAGACTAAATCCAACAAGATATAGAACTAAAATAATTAGCCATGTTTTGGCAGAACTCGTTCAGCATGCAGAACTCGAAAAAAATCCAAAATGTGCTTTAGGCATCTTTTGTCTAGATATACATGAAGAATATGGTAGAAACTGGAAGCCATAGCAGAACTAACCTCTAGCGTGCCCCTGTTCCCTCGAGACAATCTTAAGGAAGCAAAATGTTTTCCCCCACCAAATTCCAGATCAATGTCCAAACAAGGGACATCACTCTTCTGCTTCAGTAACTTTTTTACCCAATCACTGCTGTTCACTGGTTTGCAGCTTGTATTATAAGCAGTCAAAGTAACAGTAAAGTAAATTATGGATGGATTCGCATAAAAGTCAACCGTCGAACCACATGACACAGTTGATTGATTTCTGTTGTTGTCAGACCCAGTAGTGGAACATCGATCTGCAATGGGACAAACAATTTGACTTAGAAACTGTCAAATAAAATAAAATAAACAGATGATGATACCAGCAGATTCCTTTTGCTTACCTGATTCACTTAAGAAAACATGTATCTCAGTGTGCAACAAATTGGATACACGTACAGTAGGAAGAAGATAAATATCCTTTTGCTCTTGCAGTGCAACTGGTAATTTGCTATTTTCAAGACCATCCGTAGACCTATTAGGTTCTACAACAGGAACACTTCTCCCAATACTCTGAACTAGAAAATGCATGTTGGAAATACTGGACCCGTCAGATTTAAGGATACAATATGCAGTGCTGAAGGAACATTTCACCGATTCGGTAAACAAAGCATTCCGCACTCTGTAACTTAATCTATCAAAAATTCCAGAGAGACGGACTGCCTTTCCACCTTTAAGATCATCTGACCATTCCACTATGAGTGGATTCTTGGAATTCATTAACCCATCTGAAATTTCAGGTCTAAAAGACAACAAGAAGTCACCTGCATAACAGTCACCATTAAGGTTTCAGAAGATAAGCAAACAGCAAACAGCAAACAGGATAATGAAAAAAATGAAACAAAGGATAGCATGTCCTAATTTTTCTTTATAAGCAAGACAACATTGTTATGCCCTTGGTAGGTGAACACGTCTATATATACTTTTAACAACCAGAAACAGACTAAATCTCTCTCTTGGCATCAGGCTTGACACGTCTCTACAGCTATTGACAGCAATAATAGAACAACACTGTGATCAGCCTCGCAGAAGCCTAAGTTTCCAGATAAATTCACATTCCGATTACCAGGGTTATCCTTTACTTTCCTGAGTTTAGTGGGAGGCTTTACAGGATATATACAGTAGACAGAATTGTGCAAATGCCCATAGATGAGATGAAAATCAACACAGATGCATACAGTCAAAAAACACTACCTATGACTTTAAAGTGATGCACAAATAATAAGTTGTCCGAACTGATTGATCACGTTAAGAGATATATTACGCATGGACTGAAGTCAATAGAAATTGAGATTATGATTTAATTGAAAAAAATGGTGTTGAGAACGCATACCAACAGCTAAAGACATCAGTGCCTTTTTTTCTCCACCAGACAGATTTATAGCACCAAACATGGCCATGGAGTCATCAACTGTATCACCCACATTTAGCACCTCAGAAGCAAACTCATCTTCCTTCTGCTGAGCTCGTCGAAATCGTAGCTTTACAGGCAGTCCGGTTTCATTATGTATTCTTGTCAGAGGAGAAATAACAATTGACAACCCATCCTACAAACAAACAGAAAATTAATAACAATGAAAGTAATCTGAATAGTGGAGCATCTCTATTATGTATATACAGAGCAGAGCAATGGATATTAATACCTCGGACTTCCTTGAAACATCAACAACAACAAATGGCCCAGGGTAAGTTCTTGAATCTGTCGAAGAACAAAAAATAAAAAAGGAAATATTAATCCAAACTTGACGACCTTTAAAACTGAATAATTTGTTATTCAGTTCAATTGAACTGTTTCTATCTTTTTCAACACTTAATTGAATTTAACAAAGAAACTAGCAAAGTAACATTAAAAAATTAGTTAGTTGGAACAGAATTAAAAGGAGGTCAATTAGGCTCCTAACTCGTTCGGTTAGTTTTACCTTGGCTAACTTCTCGGCTGAATCAGCTATTAAAGTACTTCTCGGCTGAATTGGCTATTAAAAACTTAGCCATACTAATTTCTGTCTACAATGCATACAGGTCAAATAAAAGCATGCACAAGAGTGCATATCAATATCCTACATGTATGACATTTTTTTTTGTCAACTACATGTTTGACATTGACAAATAACTGTTTGTTTTAAAATTCACATTCCTACATTTCGATCACTTTGGAAGCATACTTCACTTCACCCTCAATCCACTATGAATAAATCCACCTTTACAATTCATTTGACTTTAAGATCCAACTCTATAACCATTTGGACAAGTGAAAGGAAAAAGAGAATTTTTTTTATTCCTTTTACTAAGATAACAGAGAGAATGAGGTTGTGACCATAGGCTGATTATAATAATCAAAGCTCTTTATATTCAAAGAACAGGGGAAAAGTCACAATACTTATAGAGAAAATAGAGCATACCCTGAAGTGATGTTATGCGTGTTCTCGAAGCAAGTACTCGAGCATCTAAAAGAGAGACCTCAATTGATTTAGTCATAAAAGATCTATTAGGATCAGTGAGTTGGATTGATGCAACTGACGCAATTTCTGAAGGTTTGTTTTCCAAATCAGAGCACCTTCTGGTTAAGCAATAATTAAGATCAGTCATTTTCCTTTTTGATAAGAAAAGCAAACTTGATTAATAAAAATAGAAGAAAATTCAAGCAAATGCATGAGAAAGCATGAAAACCAGTTCAATAACGTCAACCCAAAACACATAAAACCCTTCCCCACCAACCAAGAGAGAGAATGCATATAAAGATCCTACAATGCTAACTTTAAGACTTACCAACAAGAGATAGAAGTTTTGATAAATGAACCTGTTACTCTGAAAATGCGGAACAAAAAACTTCAAAATTTCTTAAACCATGAAATATCCTAGTCAAATAAATGATTTATTGAGTCAATTCAAATCAATTCCAAATTACACGGTTTCTTAATGCTAATTAAAAGGTAATCAAGCTCATATGATAACCTACTTAGCATGCATGCCTATTACTTGAATTTGCCTTCATTCAAGACATCAGGGCAAACTTAACATTGATGTCTAGCATACTGAAAGCAAACTTCACACGTTCAGTTTCACATGCCTTAATAATGCTAAAGCAACATTAATGAACATAACTGCCAAGTTTCACATAAACCATCATAACCTGTAGAGCTCAAAACATGGTACACTTTTATTACAAAAAATGGAAAGTTACGTTAAGATATTTCATCTGACCCTGTCTTGACAATGTGGATTTGTAAAATTCAGTATTACAATAAGCTACCTTAAAATAATGGACGCAGACTGCCTTTTGGAAACTGTTACACTTTGCTTGTCAAAGAAGTGACATAGAAGGTTCAATCCTGACTGGTTCACCACCTGTCATTGTAGAGAATTTGTTATAAAAGCCACAAATTTGTGGGGGGGTGGGTGGAAATAATGAAGAGAAAAAGTCCACCAATATTGCAACCTTAACAAGATATTGTATTGTGGAGACAACAATAGTTTAGTGCAATAGCTCCTTACACATTCTACTATAAAATGTAAACCAAAAATACATATATAGGACCAGCTAGATGTGGCACCAGGCACCAATAGCAGCACATATTCCATTAATAAGTTTTCAAAAGGTGCCCCCCAAAGGTTGCATGAACTTATGAAGTCTGTAGTTTCGGAGAAATAATTGTAAAACACAGATTTATCTAGACATCTAAAATTATACATACTAAGTAGGAGAATACAATATCAATATTTAAATTCATTTCAGACCCACCCTATTTCTTATCACTAGTAATTAGAATTTTATATAAACTCATGAACAATAAGGTTGATCGATTATCCACAAAAGCAGAAGAGCTTTAATAGCAATTCACCAGAAGAGTATCCATTGGGGTCCACTGGAACTCACTGGTGGTACAGCTATAAAGGCCGGTGGAAATTCATGGAATGTAGTAAAAATATTAGACAAATGAATATACAGGCTACCTTAACATATTGATAAACTAGAATTTCACTCTCACAAGACAGATGATAGGCATAGAAACCAGGTTATGCATGGTTGCATATGCATGCAAAGATTCATGGTTAATTAAGGTTGTGCTATCAAAATCCCTGGGAAACATATTGACGTCAAGAGAATATTTGCTACATACACTATTTTCCATGAAAGTACAATATTTGATGCTTCATAGATTGATTACATAACAGGGTAGCAAACCTTGCAGCAATTGGCCCAAATTTTAGTACTTTTCACTGAATAAGGACCAGCTAAATGTAATTTCCCGATTACAAAGAGAAGTATGTCCATTGAAAGCTCGGATAGGGATACATTCAACTGTGAATAGGAAATAACAAAACTTCGTTAAGATAGAGGATATATATGAGAAAAAGAGTGCTTTCTTCTTCTCCTCTGGTTTTAATCATATTTGATCGGTCCTTAAATGATAAGATCACAAGATCATTCAAGAAACTAGAACCTAACCTCTTTAGTTCTGCAGTGAATATGAACAGGTACTCGCGAAACAGCTTCAGATCCCTGAAGCTGGAAGCTAGAACGATAGAAGATGCATATTTCAACTGGGTGGAGAATCTCTCTCCTGCATTTACATAAGAATAGAGACATGTATCGAAACATAACCAAAGGAAAATGTATTACAGAGTAAAAGCAACCATTAGAAATTAATAGAATCTGTTCAACTTTATTCAGAATAAAAACTCACCATAAGTTTTTTTGTGCATCAAAGTAATCTAGAAGTGCAGTTGACGTGCTTATCACCCTCGTTTTAGAAGGGAGAATTTGGACAGTAAGTTTGGTTCTGTCAATGCAACCACGAAGGAGAGGAAACATGTTTTTTGTATCTACAAGTTCATGGAAAACGGTCAAAGAAATATTGTCAAAGGTAATATCAATGCAAGGAAGCTTTCCACTTCTCACAGAAGTTTTTCCATCATCCCTGAGTGCATCATGTTGCAGACCAGTTACAGATGCCTCCCCAAGGTAACTATCCATCTTTACATCACGAGCTACAGAAACATTATGGAACACTTTCAACTTGAATGGATTTCCAGGCTTGGGAACAAACTCTGGAATCCCATCTACGAAAGCAACAGCAGAGTCATTCTTCTTGTTCAAGAGGTAAAATGTCTTTTGAACCAATTGATTGTTGGGCTCCCAGTCAATGTCACCGTCAGTATTTTCAGGCTCACAAGAAAGTGCTCTCCAAAGTGCCCACCTATTATCATTAGCGCTAGATAAGTCAACAAAACAAGATCCTGGACGGTAATTCAAGCGCAAAGGCTCCCCTGTGCCATTCTTAGCGTACAATGATATCAAGGAGAACCATGAAACTGATGACTTCCATCTCCCTTGATTTTGATACTTGACCTACATGAGTTTCCGTAGAGACGGCACACAATGAAGGTAAGAAGAGAAATCAATTAATACAACCAAAGAGTCATACAGACCGAGTACAAAACGAAATAAAGTCATAATTACTGAAACATAACACAATAGCTTAATGGCTTTATCATGCTTATACATTTTCTGTTGTTCATATTCACATGGCTTGTTCGTTCCAACATAACACAATGGCTACCTCAACCTCTGAAAGTATATATTAGAGTATCTTGACAACATAACTCAAACAAAGAACCAAAATATTCAAATCAAATAAAGGCCAAATAGCCATGCAGCAGAACATCCATTCTGATAGTCAATGCACATAAATTATCTGGTTATCTCCTCAAAGTACCATTTTAAGAGAACAACCGAAAATGTGATTTGATATCAAGTTAGCCCCTCAAAGTGCTATTTTACGGGAACAACGAAATATTTGTGTGATTTGATATCAGTATTTAAAACGAAATATTTTAGTAACAAACAGCTGCAAAATGATATCACTACGCAGAAAGCTACTTAGAACTATTTATTTAAATACCCTTTTCCTTATATTTGGAACACTAGTATTCATCTTGAATCTTTGGTCTAGCCACTAGAACCATGTAGTACCAAATGTATCATACCCTGAAAAGAGCCCTTTCCCCAACAAGAGAATAATGAACTGCACCCGCCACACTGTACTTATTCTCCTCCCCCTCAACGGTAAAATACATGTGCTGATGGACATCTTGAATTGCCACTATTGCACCTACAGAACAGAATATTTGTTAGATCAAGTGCCTTCAAATCTGCAAGCAAGAGGACTTATAAATTTGGGGAAGATGTATACCGTTCGGAACCAACGTCTCCATACTGTTTTTGAATTCCTCGCCACTGGACATGTGCCTTCTATCCGATTCACTGACCATCTCTTTTTTGGTTACCTCAGAGAAGGATGAAATCATAGACAAAAGCACCTAATGAAATAAAGCAGATTAGACCCAGTGGCACATGACTTGGAAATAAGACATTAATGGTAATCACAAGTTCAACAATACTAGACAAAGAAACAGCAGCATGAACCCGTTGTTCAAAACGTGTAGAAAGAGCCAGAGTAGTATATACTTGCTCACCTGTATTTGAGATAGGGATATTGTGATATCGAAACCTGAAATAGATCCACTTCCAACCCAAACCTCATTCAAGCACAAAGGATCACTTAAAGGCATCTCAATTGACATGAGAGCACCTGCATGCTTCACGACATGACTTAGACGGAATGCCTCAGGCAGGGAATTAGGTACAGAATACTCATCCTCTGAACCAGGATCTCTTGAAGAACATGCATCATTAACAGAAAAATGAGAAATTTGGATTTCATTTTCCACAATTTCTTGAAAGACCCTAGAAAGTATTGACAAGCGAGAAAGATCAAATATAAGTTTTCTTCTCATGTTTTCCAATTGAAACTTAAACTGGACATCAACCTCAAGAACAATTTCCTGCAAACCACCTGCAAACATAAAACCATTTTGTAAATCACATAAGTAGTAAGTGTGCATCTGACACACAGTGGTGAACAGCGCATATACCATTTTCGTCTTCAATCAAAAGAGCACAAGAAAACTGAGATAGATTTAAGATGAAAGCTTCCATCTGTGTGATCTTGGCATGTCGAGATGTACAGTGAGCCTCTTGCATATATTCGTCGATACAATGATTATTTTGTCTGGTCATATGCACAGAAACTGCAGCTTCTTCAATGTGTTCATCAGACGATCGTAAACAAGATACAAGATTTGCAAAACAAAGACGATATGAAGCAAAACAGTTGATGAAGGTAGCCAAAGCTTTTATTTCAAGGAACAGAAAACCACCCTGCCCAGTAGCATCATGAGTCATTTACATGTAAAGCTTACTTAAATTGAGAAAATGAATGCATGGAAGGCATGTAAATATGTACCATCTATAACCACCACAAAGAAAAGATCACCATTACAATACAAAGATCTAAGATCTCTAGCTATGCAGACGTGAAAAAAAAAATGAAAATTGCACAATTGCTTTTATCAAAGACCGTCAAGAACAAAATTGCTTTTATCTGTGTTGGGACCCAAAAAAGAGTCCCCAACAATAATCTGATGCTGTTGCTTTCACATTTTTAATGATGACAATATAATTCAATTAACAACTGGAAACAAACTTCATCATTTCAATTCTAATGTTATTTATCTGATTGCCATTACTGGAAAATTAGAGAAATTGATTGCTTTAATTAGACATCCAAGCACTTAACTGAAACTTACTTCAAAGTTAAAAAGTAAATTGTATTTAAAGATTTTTAAACCCAAAAAGTATAACGAAAACCATTGATCCCTCTCTAATTCACACAAAATGAAAATAAAATTATCACCTGAATTCCGCAACAGATTGTCTGAAATTCACCACCAACATAAACTGAAGACACAAACTTGTTTAATTGATCTCCGTTCATAACATTCTTTGTTGAGTACCTTCCCATATAAATATAACCCAATGTAACATTTATCAGTAACCAATGACTTGCATCAGGTGGTGGAATATTTGAAGCAAATTCTGTCTCCTGAAAAAAGCTACAGTTCTGACTATTTGGGCTTTCAGAATCAGTGGTGAATGGAAGATTTTCCACGTGCACTATTTCACCAACAGAAGTTGAGGTACCAAGTGCATTACTAACACTACCTGAAGATGGGTTATTCTGAGAGAGAGGCAGCAATAAATGAAATACACAACTAGAAAGTGAGAGTTCATATAAGCAATCAAGAGATTGCAGTAGATCACCATGTGCAGAATGATCCATACTTTCTCCTTTTTGATTCTTATATCTAAAAATTATAGACTGGATTTCTGATAAATAAGAAATAACTTTCCCTTTTCCTTCTGTTGAAGATATATCAGCAGTTGTTTGGTGAATTGATATCCAAATGCCACAGTCAGGCAAGTCATGATCAGCTAACTTTTTGCTACTTGAAACATCAGAGGTTCCTATACAACTCTTCAGATTACCACTGATCCTTGACTTGTGAAGAATGATATCGATAGACTTGAGTTTGAAGGACCCATTAAATGAAACTAGGAAACTGCTATAATTGAAGGGAGCTCCATGTACAGTTGTCTCCACATTCTCAGATTCAGGAAAAGCAAATTCTTGTATTGCAAACTTAAAAGGCGAGTAACTTAGAGCTGCAAAACTGCTAAATGAATATGACATTGCAGAAGATAAATTGGCAAGCACCTGTCAGAGAGAATATTCTCAGTCAAAAATGGTATCAAATCAAATTGCCAGTGCATTAAGATCACCAACAGGGGTAAACTGTATCATAATGATTTATTAAAAGTATTAATAAACAATAACATCATGCCTAAAAAACGAAACAAAAGTTATTGATTTTGGATAGGCAGAAGACAAACACAATCACCTGAAGGAAAACATAAATCTCATCTGTATATGACAAAATAGTGAATCCTTCAGCTGTCCCATAGAAAGCTGCTGAGAGAGCAACAAAATTTGTGCTAAATGAATGAGCATACTCCCTGCACAATAAAATAATTCTTACTATCAGGACGAGACAGATAATTTTGTCAATATGCAATGCACTTGTATTCTGTTCTGGGTTTGAAGGGTAGGAGTAAATGGGGGGAAGAGAAGGTTCTGTTTTGCATCTCATTTCTTATGATCTTTAGAATCACATGCTCAGAAAAGGAACAAGGAGAAGAAAAGAAAAAAAGCATTTTCATTTCCCAAAAAAATTGGAAACGTGAAAAGAATAGTGAAAGAGGACAGACTCAAATGAAGATTTACTCAGTCAATAAAATTCTCAATGCACTTGAAAATAAGAAGTCATCCTAATAAAGAATGTGACAAGAATACTCTTAAAAACCAATGAGCAACATATTAAGCCTAAATGAAGTTCACGAAAACCATAGGAATTTACTCTCTGTGAAGGGTAAAGGGTTTAGAAAACATAGATCGAATGAAAACTAAGTTGAAAATTTCAGTAAGGCAACCATCGTTTTAACCTCTCTGAAATATTGGAGAAAATAGCACGTGAGATTAAGCTATCAAACCTCCAGGAGAACAGATATAGAGTGAAACACAGCAAGAAAATCCTACCTTAAGGATGACATCCACACAGTCATTGGCTTCAGAACTAAAATGTCACTTTGTTTTTTTCCTGCTGAGTCAATCAGGTAAGCATCTAAACCATCAACGTGTAAATAAAAACCAAGAGAAACTGACCCCTGAGATTGATACTTTCCATTATCTGATTTAAATTTATCAACTCCGAGAGGCTTCTCCAACCTGAGGCACTTTGTTTCTACATCATCAGCTCCTGAGGGTGCAACAAATGATGCCAGATCAAATTGTGAGGTTGGCCATACTGCAGCCTCTATGCTGTGCACATCAAATGCAAGGTGAAAATCCTCCTGACTCACTTGATGATTTATGTCTTTGCTGCCACGACCAAAACTCTTTCCCAATGACATACGGATGTGAGGACCAGCTGCAAATATCCCTATTTGAACATGTTTCTCTGGAAGCATCTTAACCAATGCCATTTCCAATCTATTAGCATAGTGCGTGCAAATGCTATCATTACTAGCTCTTGGAGAATGTAGCAGAACCCCTGACTGACCATTGTCCTCCGTCCAGCATAGAGCATGTTGTATTTGCTTTAAGAGCAGAGATACCGATAGTATGGAGGGACATCCCAAAACTAGATTCAACTTTCCCATAGTCAAAAACAACTTCGAAAGCCCAGACTCTGAGTTTTTGAGGTCTGGATATGTCCAGTTTTTAATTTCACAGAGAAGGAATGGGTTTTCAAAGTACTGAATCTCACTTTTTTCAAATTTTTTGCAGGATCTTTTCCAGTTCAACCACATGTCTCCAAGAAATGTTTTCAAAAATGAGGCACAAGCACCTTCTGCATGATCAGCATAAGCAGTTTCGTAAGTTTCTGAAAGGGGAAAAGTTTGTGCTGGCTCACCCCACAGAATATTCTTCAAATCATCATTACTCTCCTTCCAATGTTCTTCCACATTTGAAATGATTTCTCTAACAGAAGCTTTCGAAAGAGATGAGGATCTAACCTTCAACTGCCCACATGATACAAGTACAGACTGTTCACACATGTCTTCTACATATTTTAAGAACAGCGAATCAACTGAAAGACGAAATGAAAGGAAATCTGAACAAGAGATTCCAATATGTGATTCTAATTGTTTATTTACTGAGATTTGAACTTCATTTATATGAGAAATAGTGATTAGAACATTTCCAAAGATCACGATGAAGCAAAAATCTTTACACAGACCTCCAGAAACAATATCCAAATTTGCATTGTCTGGCTCTTTGTCCAATACTTTCCTAAAAGTTAACAAGTGTATGATAAAGTGGAATATCTTGCACAGAACTCTCCAGGTACAGGCTAGTACCAGAAGGATCTTGAGAAGGAAGTCGAAGTGAGTAATCACGGAGGATTTTTTTAAACTATCTTTGGTAGATTGAGCATTTGATGCTGCTCTATGACGGGCGATTCTCCATGCCTGTACAATGGCTTCAGCCGGCAACTGTTTCTCTATATCAAAAATCACCTTGCATTGGTTCTTTACAGAAGCCAAAAACATCTTGTCCTGAGAAATTCTAGTAGCTGATCTCTTCAATGAGTGATCATCAGAAAATCCAATTGTTAACAATAACTGCTCGTAAGCATTAGCATAACGTAGCCATAAACAAACAAGACCAACTAATTTTTGCAACGACCATCTAGAACCTGAAGTCAAGTTGTCCATATTTCTTGCAGCTAGTTTCCATAGTTGGACACCATTTCTAGCAGAACGAGATCCTTGGGATGACAATTTACCCAATGCTGAATACCAATAAATGTCATCCGGAGAAAATGTACAACGTAATTCTGGAAATTGAAGATTTACATCCACGAGCTGAAAATTATTTAATCTAATGCAAGTGCACAAATCAGTCAATAACAACACGTTTTTGAGCTGATTTTCTCTCTTGAACCCCACCTCAAAACTACTGCCTGCTATAACAAAAGAGCTCTCTTTCAAAGGTAGAAAGAGTGCACCAAATAGACCTCGAAGAAGACACCTGTGATCAAGATACTGAGGATCTGCATTGATATCTCTTACGTCGAACACAGAAACAAGTGAATCATTTAAGATGGGAACCTTAACTTGTACATTGATATCTTGCACTCGAAGCTGACAGTGTTTCAGTAAGAGATTCCAAAGGGTGTCTTTAAAACTTTTTGTTGGAGTAGAAGTGGCCACAAGCTTTTCAAAAACACCATGTAAAGCACTACCCTGAAAATGAAGCAAAAATTCCCGGGGTTTGACATTTGCGAATCACCAATCAAGTAAACAAAACAAGTACTTTTCACCCAACTAAAATAGAGAACATCAAACAAACAAAAAACTTGAAATTCAACATTAGCATTTAGCAACAACAATGCCTACCTCGGGATCCATCTCCGAAAGCTTCTTCTTCTTCACATCTTCTGCATATTCCTCCCTCGGTTTTCGCTTTAAATTTTGCTCCTCCCTATCAAAGAAAACCCAAAAATAAAGCTTGCAAAAACCAAATAATGCAAAGAAATTAAAAATAAAAAAAAAGAGGAAAATTGAACACAGAAAAAGCAGAAGCAGTGACTTACCGAACTGCTAGCTCCACACTGACGCCATGAAATTCGATTGAGAAGGCAGGGACGAGCCAGTTCGAGAACCGAACGCTCAAGTGTTCGACAGTGACCTCTGAGAAGGAAAACTCGGCCGATTCGTCGAAGAGCTCGTTGAGAGCCCCAGTGTCGAACCGGAGGTTCCTGGCGACCGCATGGGAATTGATAACCCCTAATTTGAGATCCAGTTCGGGCTCTTCCTGGAGCCATGGCCGCAGCACAGAAGCCAGTCTCCGTCGCGCTGCGGTGTTCGGGAACATTGTGATTGGGTATTCTGACAGTGGGAGATTGGGGTAATCGTTGTTTTTCTATTTAGAGAAATCGGAATTTTCTCGAGAAACAAACGGAAAATTATTGGAGCGATAAGGTGAAGTGAAAGATTGATGAAGGGTGCGAGCGTATCGGCGGGAAACGAAACTAAAATCGGACAGCTGCTTTCTTATGGTCGGTTGGGCTTTGGGGATTCTCAGATACTTGTGTATTTTTTTTAATCAACCTAAAGGTCATGATTTTTTTTTTTTTTTTTTTTGTAACACAGGATTATATACATGGAAGTTTTAACGAAAAATTCACAGGTACTCTTCACTTTAGCCAAAAATCATATTTTTACAGTAAAAAATCAATCATGGTATTATTCATTTTACTTTTCGGTATTGTTCACTCTAACCAAAAATCATATTTTTACAGTAAAAAATCAATCATGGTATTATTCATTTTACCCTTTATTTTATCCTTATCATTAAAATTCAAAATTTTTAAACTTTTTTCATTAATTTCCCTTTCTATTAATCTGGGTAAATATGCTAAAGGCAAACAAAAACAGCCTACGAGAGGCAAACATCCAAACATGGCAGCAAAAAACAGGTAGTGGAGTATCTCTAATCATGCTTCTATTCAACAATTTCTCTGATTATCAATAAGTGATCGTATTAAGTACTTCAATTCAGCTTAACCAGTCCCCAAGTTTCTTCACCATCCATGTACGTCATGAAGGCCTTGACCCGCCAATCTACTACCAAGCATCAATATACTAAAGCATTTCTCTTATTCTTCCACTCGCAACTAACAGATTTTTATCGTAAAATTTTTATAATCAGAACTTTAAATCTCGTAATCTTCATTTGAAGATCAACTTTACAAAAAAATCACTCGAATAGGAAATCGTTTAGTCATCCAATATATCAAATGATCTTCAAATGATAATTAAGAAATTGAGAGTTACGATTGTACAAAATTTAGTGTGAATATATGTGATTTGCAAGTGAGGGAATGAGCTCATCCTCAAGAGGGAAATGGAAGTTTTATCTTATACAAAAATCAATACTCTTGTTTTTTAGAGAGATATCAAAGAAAAAAATTTACCGCCGCCAAGCCCAACCATGGGGTCGGAGGCTATCCTTCTTTCTCTTTCTTTTCATGTTTCTAGTAGTTGTCACACTCTCACTTTATCAAGAAGTGCCTTTATGGTTGAGGTTGTGGTCACTCTCTCCTTTTTAGGAAGAGAGCTTTTTAAGCAGTTATAACAAACTGCTCAACTTGAATTTTAAAGTGACAATTGTTGTTGAAATATGAGTTGGTCATTTTGTTGTTTGTGCGCTTAGGAAGGATTATGAGGAAACTCGACATTTGTTGAAGGGGACTCATAACAAGATTTGTTTTCAACGATGCAAGATCATCAGATGGTGGTGTGGTATTTCCTTCAAGGGGTCATAGCAGTGGTTTGAGGGATTCATAGCCATTTTTTTCTGTCGTTTTTCATTGCGAGGTCTTCAAGTGATGGTATGATGTCTATTTTGTGTGTCTTGACAGTGTTGAGTTTGACCAGTAGAGTTGCCTTGTGAGTTTATCTTTCATGTTGGTTAGGTGTCTTGCGGTTGAGGAATTGTACCTCTAAAGAGTTTGTTTACTGTTGTGTTCTTTTTGGCTTTAGTTGTGGTTTTGTTGTCTGTTTGCCGAAGAAGCGTTATCTTTTACAAGTTCATCAGAAGGTGAGGCAAAATTTTGTCCTCCGAGCGTAGGTTTTGTTTATGTAATCATACAATGGTATTTCTGATCAATGAGATTCTTCATTTTATTTGATTAAGTCTCTTGTTTTTACCTTCTCATGATTTTATTGGACACTTAGCTAATTGAAGCCAGAAACACACATAATAACACAAGATAATAGTAATTAATGCTTACATAATAACATAAGATAAGAGAATACATAAAATTTGGGTAATAATTTGATCAAGTCTCTTGTGTTTCCTATTTTATCCATCTCTTTACCACAATCATTATCCAAGCACGAAGCCTGCCGACCAATTTTGGTCCATTGACCAAGTCACAATCCAACCTGCAGCTTTACCTTTATCTCCGTTGTGTTGGGTATATCCAACGTGGCGCTACATGATTGGCCAGCCCATCTTTCACAATGGCTGCCAAGGGAAAATCTAATTTTATTGTATTTTTTACTAAAAAGTTATAAAAAAAATTTAAAAAAAATTTAAAAAAAATGGAAAATTCCCAGCCTGCAGTTGCTGCTTTTCAAAGCCTGCGGCCTCCTTAACACCTGGTTCTTCCAAAAAAAAAAAACACCTGGTTTTCCCTCTTTTATTCCTTTCATTTGTTCACGATTATATGTAATCCATCAAAAGCTCGTCCAGAGACAACCACATATTCTCCGAAGAGAACAGCATTCGTGGCCAAAAGTTCGACGGGTTAAAGAACTTCCCGGACCACGACAACTCGGGTTTTTCGATTCGATTCGATCCCCCAAGCTACGAGCCAGACTCGATGGTGGCGGAGGAGGCCGCTTTGTCTCCTCTGAATAAGTCGCCATGGTCTTCTCATATGAACAACAATATCAACAACGACGATAATAATAATGCTTCAGATACGGCTAACGATAACTTCTCCCCCAACGTCCTCATAGGCGCGTTGGTGCGCGAGGAAGGTCACATATACTCACTGGCCGCCTCTGGAGACTTGTTGTACACGGGGTCGGATAGCAAGAACATTCGGATTTGGAAGCAGCACAAAGAGTATTCGGGGTTCAAATCGAACAGTGGGTTGGTTAAAGCGATAATCATAGCGAGGGAGAAGATCTTCACCGGTCATCAAGACGGGAAAATTAGGGTTTGGAAGGTGTCCTCCAAGAACGCAAACCACAAGCGCATAGGAACTTTACCGACGTTGAAGAATTACATTAAGTGTTCCATGAAGCCGAGTAATTACGTTGAAGTGAGAGGCAAGAGCAAAGTCCTATGGATCAAGCATTTTGACTCCATCTCATGCTTGAGCTTGAGCGAAGATCAAACGTTGCTTTACTCTGCGTCGTGGGATAAAACGTTTAAGGTATGGAGGGTTTCCGATTTCAAGTGCTTGGAGTCGATCAACGCTCATGACGACGCCGTGAATGCATTGGTTGTTGGATTTGATGGGTTGGTCTTCACCGCTTCCGCAGATGGAACGGTTAAGATTTGGCGGAAAGAGCTACAAGGAAAAGGTACTAAGCACTTCTTCTCACAAACGCTCTTAAAGCAGAAATACGCAATCACATCCCTAGCTGTGAACACAGACGCCTCGATCATATATTGTGGCTCGTCCGACGGGCTAGTCAACTTTTGGGAACGGGAGAAGAACCTCCAACACGGCGGTGTTTTGAGAGGCCACAAACTTGCGGTTCTGTGCTTGGCCACGGCCGGTTGCTTAGTATTCAGTGGCTCCGCCGATATGGGGATTTGCGTGTGGAGATTAGGCCCTGACGGGGACCACATTTGCCTGTCGGTGCTGTCGGGGCATACGGGGCCGGTGAAGTGCTTGGCTGTGGAGAGAGATCACGATCAGTCGACGTCCGGGGAGAAGAGGTGGATCGTGTATAGTGGAAGCTTGGATAAGTCGGTGAAGATGTGGAGGGTTTCGGAACAAGCGCTGCCTATGGTGCCAAACCAGAAGCACCAGCACTACACGTCCGATGGGAATTGTGTGCCGATGTTGAGCTCGGCGCCTAGCTTTGCTTCTCGTGGAGGGGAAATGGGTTCAAGAAGATTTTAGGGTTTGATTGATATAATATCTGATTGTTGTTGTGTGATTAATATATGGGATTTTATGCATGCATGCATGCTTCTCCCATTTTCTTGATCCAAATATTGTTCATGCCTAAGTTACGGTGGATTTTGAATCATGTAATTTGTAAACCTAAAGCTTTTAGGCATGTGGAATGCCAAATATTCACCACAAATTACATACATATGCTTGGGAAAAGTTTCTTTGCGTAGTTAATCAATTTAGTGTATTTGTTGTTTAACTTCTATCATTTTTTTTTTTACAAGTAACTTTGAGAGAAAAAAAATCAAACTTAAGACCTGAATAAAAGTAATTTCTTTTATTTGGTTGAGGATAAGCACTTATGAGAAGTAACAAGAAATATTAAGCTTGATTGAGTTTTAAGCTCAAATTTTCCTCCATTCAAATGAATAAATTATAATACTATATTCAAGTTTAAAGCTCGAATTTTACTTGTCCCACATGTGAGCCGAGCTAGTCAAGTTTCTGCAAACAAGGTTGAGCACAGTAAATATATTCAAGTCAAGCTTCAACAACCTTGTACTCTATTTGGCTCAATTTAGGGGGGTGTACTAGTCAAATTAGAGTTATTAACATGTTTTCACATAAACGATTCAACTTTCGTATTTTACTGACTACTTTTGAAAGCCAACGAATTAGGAGATAGAATTAGGGAAAATGTTAACAAATTATGAAGGAACCTTTTTTGCGCTAAATATTTTGTACATGGAAAACATGGAAGCACCAAGCAAAGTATTTAGAGATGGCTTGGAGAAACTTAACCAACTTATTTTTTTCTGTCTACTTTATAATGATGATTGAGACAGCACACCTTCTTTGATTCTGGGGTATGCTTCCCCTTGGTAAAAAGAAGACGAATTAAACGTGTTAAACTGTGCATCATCACCAAAAGTCTTCTCATTATTCGTGAAAATACATATGAGCATATGTATCTTTGGCGGGGAAGCTGAGTAGATCAAAGACAAAGTATATATAGTGCAAGTTCATTGGGATGGGATCCAAATGAGATAAGAGGATTGAAATTTAGGAAGTACCAAAAAGGGAGCGCTTTGGTTATCTTAGATACTTCTTGCAAAAGAATGGAGAATTGGACGGAGATCTCAACCATAGAATACAAGCTCGATGAATGAAGTGGAAGAGTGCATTGGGTGTGTTGTCTCAACTGCCGTAGGCCACTGAAGCTCAAGGGAAAATTTTATAGGACGATAATAAGGCTAGCAATGCTTTATGGCACAAAATGTTATGCGGTCAAGTAGCAACACGTAGAAAGAATAAGTGTAGCGGAGATGAGAATGTTTCGCTGGATGTGTGAGCACACGAAAAATGACATAATTAAGAACGATAATACCCAAGGTAAGAGTGGCTGCAATCAAATATAAGATTAGAGAAAATTGGTTAAAGTGGTTTGGACATATAAACCGAAAACCTACAAATGCTCTTATTAGAAGATGCGATTATGAGACAAAGGTTTATGGAAAAAGAGGTAGAGGAAGACTTGGAAAGAGACTCTAAGAAAAGACCCGGAGTACTTGGAGCTAACGAAAGACGTGGTGCAAAACGGAGCACAATGATGTTCTAGAATTCATACAGTCAACCTCGTTTAATAGAATAAAGTTTTGTTGTTGTTGTATTTAGTAGTGTTCAATAATGTAAAGATGCATATTTTAGGTGTGAGGAACCTCTCTGTGTCCTGACTCTTGCATGCAATTAAGAATTCTCTCTTTTGAACTTAATTCTTCATCGTTTTGGGGAATATCAGATTTATAAGAGAGTTAAAGATGAGTACAAGTGGATGAATATATATAGTAATTACTGTATATTGGACTTTTTGTGATAGGCATGCATATGAATCAAACTCAAAGTGCACTATTTTTACACATACGAATCAAATTCACAAAATCCCCAAAGTTTGAAGTGTTCCGATTACAAAGTTGTCAGTTTAACCACGCTTAACTTAAAAGATAACTACTTAAAAATCTGCAGGATGGGTAGGATGACTTTGTAACCGTTCTTGTGTTTTACTTTCTAATTTTTTCCATGATCCACTTGAATTTTTATTAAGGATTGGTTTTAAAAATATTTTCATCAAAAGTGTTTTCAATCATTTTAAAAACACTTCCAAGCGAACATGTTATTACAATTTTTTTTTTAATTCAAAGAAAAATCATTGAAAATAACTTTAATCGTACGTCAAGACGTGTAAATGAGACGAATTTTAACATAACTGCAAATGTAACATCCTCAAAAAGCTCACCTAAAGCAGCTAAGACTTACACAAACAGCTAAAAAAACTACAACAACAAAACCTAGCATGAACAATATTCGAGCCAACAGAACACAAAACAAGTAAAACCCGAAATAAATCCATGATCATTACAGTCACGAATTGAAGCCGCACTGCTGTAGAACCATTGCATTTAACCACGAATCTAGCAAACATGTATCTAATTAAACATAATTAATTCGACTTTTTGTTTGGTGTAATAGAAGATTACGCATATGTTTAGGTGATGAGGTGGGGTAGGGTTGGTTGGTTAGAACTACAAAGGTTGAAGTTGAACATGATACAAAAGTTGTTAATTATATGTAAAAAATAATTAGTAGTTTTATGGTTTCCAAATTTCAAACTTTTTGGCATGTTGTTTTCAAAATTTTGACAATAAATTCCGTAAAATTTGACTAATTAGAGACTTTTAACATTATTTATTGGAGATGCAGTCCTATGATATCCAAAGAAAGAACATTAATCAACAATGACTGCTTACTTGCACGTGTTTACAATATTTTAGTGGTTAGGATTGAGTTTCTACACATACGTCTTGATTTGAAACTCCTTATCTTTTGAACTATTGTAATATTTTCAAACTTTCTCTTCATTTTAACAATAATGATTACATGACTAATACGAGTATTGTTATGCGGCCACACAAATTGAAAAATTTGCTTACACACAATAATCTTTTGTGTCACTGGAACATTTGTCACGTATTGTAATATGAATGAGTAACATGATTAATATGTCATACTTATATGGATTATGTTAATTTTTTTTTTAAAATAAAAAACAAATACACGTGTTATATCAGAGTATACCGTAAAATTGCTGCGTAACACACTTTCCTTTGACGCAAGAGCAAATTTTTAGAGTTATAATCTAAAGAGTGGTTCTGCCATTGAATAAGTGTTGGATTTTGTGGGGGTGAAAAACAAAAATTTTACAAACTTCCTTGAAGATCTTTAATCCTAGGGTTGATGTATTCACTTATTGAGATAAAAACTTTATACCTCTAGGAGCACTACCTTGATTTTGATCAAGGTTGATCACACTAAGGAAAGTGGACCAACTTTGATGAAAATCAATATGCTCACCTAAGTCCTTATTTTGAAGACCTATGAGGTCCTCTTCAATAGGAGCCTTTGGATTAATCTAATGATAGATGAACTTATCTTAAGGTTTTGATTAGGGACAAGAGTGCTCTTATTATTGTTTTTGGTCAAGAAGTAACATTCATTAATTCGAAAAGAGATTACAAGCCAACTCAAAGGAAGGCAAAATAACTCAAAACACATTAGGAAATACACAAAAATCCAGCCCAATAAGTAGATAAATATCAACTAAAACCCTAATTCCTATTCTCCAAGTGGACAAAGTAGCGCCTGTCACCGCAGCCACCATGATGAAAGTATTGCCAGCAGCCACCAAGGCAAATTCATCAATTCGACTAAAACTTCGCAGCACAAAAAATAAACCGCAACCAAAAGCACTCCACAACCATATTTCGTCATTGAAACCGCTGAACAAGAAATAGTCACCGAATTTCAATCTTCTTTACCAACCCCTGCAAATATATACAAACAGTAACACATAGATAAAATGCAAGGTACACCGGCATGCGGGTTAGGGGAGGGAAGTGAGGGAGAGATGGGGTGAATCACAATGAAGTTTTAGGGACGTAACAAAAAATAATCCTTAAATAATTACGGCGTTTTAATAGAAAGACTAAAAAGTATAAATAAAAAACAAAAAAGATTCCAATCCAAAATACCAGCTCGCTGTATTTTTCTGCGCTTCTCCACCCTATTCACTTTCCCATTACATCTTCCTTCTCCCCAAACGCTACCCACTGACCCTCCAATTTCCACTATTTCCACTCCCCTCCCTCCCTCCAATCAACCCCTCAGCGAGCCATTGCCTTCTGAATTTGCAATCTCATAATCCCGTGCTGAATTTGCAGATGATTCTGTGCTGCTCTCGCTCAAAGTAAGATTTCCGAGCTCGATTCGGCCGACGAAATGCCTTCCGACGCCGACAATGAGGTCCAGTACTCGTTCGCGATAGAGTACAACGGTCCTCCGGTCAGTTACGATCTCCCGCGGGCGGTTCCGATTAACATCGATAGGATTCCGGTGGCGGCGGTGGTCGGAGGGGTTGCGCTGCCCGAGAAGCTGACCCTGCCGGTGGTCCAGCCGGTGATGGCGCCCGCACCGTTCTCGAAAGAGCTCAAGGTGTCTAAATCGACGGTCTCTCCGACTTCCGTTTTCGATCGGGGCAGCGAGGATTACACGAAGGAGTTGGAAGGTTCTGAGTCGACGGTTTCGCCGACGTCGGTGATTGGATTTGAGGAGAGGGGTGAGGAGAGTGTGGTTGGGTGTGCGTTGTCCGGTGAATTGAGTAGCCTCCGGCGCGTCGGAGTTTTCGAACGCGTTGAATTACAGGTCGGGTGAGTTTTCCGATGTGATTAGTGGCGGGAAGGAGAGTGTGGACTTCAACAGCGATTCGAACCGGCCCGAACCAGAACAGGATTGGGCCTCCACGGAGTCCGTTTTGAGCTTGGACTATCCGTCGTCTCGGGTTTCATCCAGTAAGGCTTTGGATTATGGCGCACTGCGGCAGCCGGTGGTGACTTTTCGGGATATTGAGTCGGACGATGGAGCTGATGAAGACGAGGCCGAAGTTGTGCAGGCAAAGCGGGAGCCTCAGAGCAAAGGGAAGAAGAAGGCGTGCTATAGATGTTTGAAGGGGACGAGGTTTACTGAGAAGGAGGTGTGCATTGTCTGTGTTGCTAAGTATTGTAGTAGTTGTGTGCTTAGGGCAATGGGGTCGATGCCCGAAGGTCGAAAATGTGTGAGTTGCATTGGGTTTCCTATTGACGAGTCGAAAAGAGGGAGCTTGGGGAAGTGCTCTAGAATGCTCA